GATCTTTGAACTTCTTTTTTGTTTCGCCCTTAGGAGGGATATAGGTTTTCATCTCTCTCTCATAACGGGCCTTGTCCGCCTTTGCCATGTCTTCAAATTTACCTTTCTCTTTAGCAGACATGGTCTTCCACCTCTCTGAACACTTATTAGAAAATTCTGAGAAGTTGACAGAAGCATCTGGGTGCTTCTTCTTGTGCTCCTCTCGGCAGGTTTGCACGAAAAATGCATACGATGACATTTTGCCTCTCGGCTTCTTAGGATCTCCTTTGCCCATGGTTAGTTATTTCTCGTCTGCGAGGCACAGAGTCGCCCAGTGCCGTCTGGCTCTGCCTGGCCTGGTGCTGTCTCTATGGAGCTCAATGTACTGCAATCTAAACAATGGCTTTTAAACAAGAGGCTAAAATTAAAAAAAAACACAACACAACAACTTAACATTCCACAGAACCAACAACCCAGAACAAGAGCGCCCTTCTTACAGAGTCCTGCTGCATCACCCAGTCTCCAAAATGGAAATAGTGTTATTCTCACTCATTATATCTAAAAGATGGACATGAGGAAGACAGAAAAAGAATTGATACATTTGAATTGTAGTGGAGAGAAGAATATTGAATATACTATCAAAACAACTGTTGGACTGTCAAAACAACAAACAAGTCTGTCTTGGAGGAAGTACAAACAGAGTGCTCCTTAGAGCAAGGATTGTGAAACTTCATCCCACATATTTATGGCATGTTGTTAGGAGAAGCCAGTCTTTGGGAAAATACATAAATGCTGAGAAAAGGAAAGAAAGGAAGACCCTCAGTGTTATGGATTGATACAATGACTTCCACAAGATCCAGATCTCTTCTTCATAGGGTTGCTGTGAATCATAGTTGAATAGACAGCATCTAACAACAACAATCCTAATTCAAAAGATTTTCCTAAGGGAGTAAAAAGAGAACAAATTAGGAAAAGAAAATAATTACAATGGCACATTTGATTAGGGTTTAATTTCTAAAATACATAGAAAAGTTTAACTCAATAACAAAAAGTTCAGTGAAAACATGGCAAAGGATATGACCAGATACTTCACCAAAGAGAACGTTTAGGCAACCAACAAATACATAAAACCTCTTCTCAATTATTAGCTATTAACCAAAAAAAATCAAACAAAAACCCTTTTGCTTGAATTTGTTCATTTGTTGAATGAATTCTAATTCCTTGTGACCCTGTATTGACTTTCTGAGGCTATGAGTCTTAATAAGAGCAGATTGCCTCATCTTTTTTCTGCTGTGACTCATGGGTTCAAATTACTAACCTCTTAACTAGCAGCCCAACACATACCCCACTATACCACCAGGGTTCCTTTTATTACCTTTTTCTTCCACTAAAGACTGGTGGTGTCGTCTATAGAATTCTAGGTTGCTATCCCAAAAGTGACACCTGTGTGGTGATTTAAATCCACCAGCAGCTCCGTGGGAGAAAGACAGGAAATCGCCTCCCAGGTGATAAACAGCCTCTGAAAACCTGCAGAATAGTTCAGACTCCATGGCAATGAGGAGTTGTTGAATTTAAAGACTACATATATAAGATCCGTATGACCTGTTGCAACTGCCTTTTAATTTCTTAAAGATACTGTTAGGAATTAATCTCATTTGTAACCAGGGCTGATTATATATTATATGATTACACTAGTATAAAGTGTCAGTTATATGTATACACATAGAAAGTTCTTCATTGGCTACCAGGATTAGAAGAATGATTTTCTAGATAGTAGACATTTGTTACTGTTGTTTTTTTATTTTGGTTTTTGTGGTTTTTTTGTTTGTTTGCTTTTGGTTTGTTTGTGCTTTCAGTAAAAGTTTACAATGCTAAAACAACTATGAGATATCATTTCACCCCAGTCAAAATAGCAAAATTTAACAGAACAGCAAGCAACAAATGCTGGCGAGGTTGTGGAGAAACTGGAACCCTGATTCACTGTTGGTGGGAGTGTAAAATGGTGCAACCCCTGTGGAAAGCAGTATGGCGCTTTCTGAAAAAGTTGCAAATAGAGATACCATTTGACCCAGCAATTCCACTACTGGGAATATACCCTGAAGAGACCATAGCTGACATCCAAGCAGATATATGCACACCCATGTTTATTGCAGCTTTGTTCACAATAGCAAGGAGTTGTAAACAACCTAAGTGCCCATCAACAAACGAATGGCTAGAGAAGCTGTGGTATATTCGCACAATGGAATACTATGCTGCATTAAAAAACAAGGAACTCATGCAATATTATTCAAAATGGTGGACTCTGGAGAACATTATGCTGAGTGAAATATCCCAGTCACAAAAGGACAAATATTACATGATGCCACTGTTGTAGAATGGGACTGTCCTTGGGGTTGGGGAGAGACTGAGTAAGATGGGTTCAATAATGTATACTGCACTGAAACAGAGGAGGGAGAGAACCGTTTAAAAGAGAGATGTAACTGGGTATTTCTGTCATCACAGGAGACTAGAGCGAGGGCTGCATGGTGGAGGGGACCTGGGGGAGGGTTTGTAAAACAATGAAAGAATCTTTTCTTTTACTTTTCCATAATTTTTGGACTCATGTACTTATAACTTGTTAGTCAAATTTGTGTCTTCTAGGTTGCAACACCCCCATGATACATCTTCAAGGATATGTACATGTACAGCCAAGCACAATCAATAAGAGTGCATCTGAATTCCAAAATCAATCTCCATAATAGTCTATGTGTTTCCTACTGCCAAAGGGGCCCTTTAGAGTAGTGAGAGAAGATCTTCACCCTGAAACCCACAGCGTCCCTTTTCAGCAGGAAGTAGCTAAGAGAATACGCCGTCCCCTTTTCCTTATGACTCAGGGTGAAGTCTCTCTCAGGGAGGAGTGATAGGGAATGGCAAAGGATACACTGACAAAGAAGATTAATCAGAACTGGCTTTGACAAGCACTGTGGCATTTGGACAAGAACAAACTGGGAGGAGGGTAGAGAGAATAGTGCAACAATGAATGAGTGGAAGCCCAAAATCTCTGTAAATGTTTATGAAAATTAATAAAATATAATTATAGAAAAAAAATTATTTAATATCTACCAAAAATATTGAATGGATTTCATTTTGTCCAGTAATCAGATTGCTGGAAATATTGTGTGTAAATCTCTGTCAATAAAATTCTATTTCCCCCCCCAAAAAAAAAAAAGTTTACAATGCATCTTAGTTTTGCATTCAGTAATGCACAGTCTTTGTTACTTTTGGTAATGAGTAAAAGTAATTCTGAATATGGATGAAGGCAGCACAACTTGACAAAGGTCAACATGTATCTATCTATACAGCTGTATCTTGAGCTCTGGTAGTATAGTCCATAGCATATTACACTGCAATTCAGAAGGCCACCTGTTTCCTTCCAATGGTTTAAATTCACCAGCTACCACTGAAAAAGTTGGGTAGTTTCTGCCTGGTAAGATTTAGAGTTACGGAAACCCAGTGGAGGGTCATTGAGTCAGTGTCGAATTTCTGAGTTTATGTATTTATATTGCTATGTGCAATCAAGTCAGAACTGACACATAGCTCGCCCGTCAGTGGATTTTTCCAAGGCTGCAAATCACACAGGAAGAGATGCCCATCTTTTCCCTATGGAACAGCTGGTGGATTAAAACCTTGTGTCTTTGGGTTGGCTGTTTAACTCCTTACCAATAGTCTACCAGAGCTCCCTTTGAGTATATATAATCACACTTAGGAGGAAGAGTTACAGAGACTTGCTAGACATATTCACACAACTCACAAGACTAGTTTACTGTGTTAAAAGACCTGAGATTTTATTTTGGGGGATACCGGTCAGTTGACATATTTCACGAAGGTCATGTTCTGCATCCTCATTTAGGGAGTGGCATCTGAAATCTTAAAAGATTGCAAGCAGCTGTTAGAGATACAGCTCATTATTAGTCTTACCATATAGAGCAAAAGATCATAAAGGAAATCAAAGACTCAAGAAACCAGTTGCTGGGATTGAGCCCATGTGAACCACAGCCTGAAGAACTAGATGGTGCATGGCCACCATACTAACCATTTGTAAATGCCAGTTTCTGTTTATCCTAGCTACTGAAAGGTTTCACTGTTAAATATATCTGTCTGAAGAGACTAATTTTTCATCAAACCTTTGTTGAGCTCCTACTGTGTCATGCACTGTACTAGGTGTTAGGGATACAGCAGTGAGCAAGACAAAATTCCTACTGTTATAGAATTTCTACTCTGGACTGATTATTAAGTTCATTATTACGTCTTCAGAATTATTACTAAATTCTGAAGTAGAGGACACATAACTATAAATTAATTCATTAGTGTACTAACTAGAAGGATTATAAGATTAGAATAATCATAATAGGATTGTTGTTGTTGGGTGTTAACAACATAATAGGATTATTATTCATTTGACCACCACAAACCCATAGTGACCCTATGAACAGCCTATCTGTACCCCTGTCCTGTGCCATCCTCATCCTCTCTGATACACAACCCATTGTTAGCCATCCTTATCATCTTTGATATATTTGAGCCCACTGTTAATATAAATAGGTTCATGGTATTTGGTTTTTAGATATAATAACAACATGAATAACATGGATCTTCTTTTTTTTCTTCTTCTTTTCTTTTAGCTTTAAAGAAGCCCCCTCTTTCAGTTTCTCAACATGAGAATCATCAAACAGTCTCCCACTTTGCAACTGGACAGCCTCTCTCCCCAAATATGGCTCTAGGTATGTAGTCTTATTGTCAGAGTTCCACTTAAAAACCAATTTATTGGTTATGGATTGTTATGTAATAAAATAGCATTTAGCAGCACAATTAAGTTGTAGCCATTTTCCAATTAGTGTTGCATATTTTTGAATCACTGGTAACAACTCTAGTGGCCTACTGGTAAGAAGCTGGCTGCAATCGCAAAGGCATGCAGTGCAAATCCACCAGCTTCTCTGTGAAAGAAGGATTGGCAGTCTCATCCCATGCCATTTACTGCCTCTAAAAACCCACTGTAGGGTCAGCTGTTGGTCAGTTCTGACTCAACGGCACACAACAACAGTAACAACTCATTTAAGAGAAGTCTGATAGCCTACTGGGTAGAGAATTGTGCTGACAACCCAAAGGGAAGTAGTTTAAATCCTCCAGCTACTTATTGAGAGGAACATGGGTAATCACCCCCATGTACTTTCTAGCCTCTGAAATCACCTTCTTTAAATGTGTTCAACTTTATCTCATAAAGACTTTCTGTAAATTACTATTTTTGTTGTTAAGTGCTATTGAGTCAGTTCCAACTCATAGCAATCCTGTGTACAACAAAAAGAAACACTGCCCAGTTCTGTATTACCTTTGCAGATATTACTGGGCTTGAGCCCATTGTTGCAGCCATTGTGGCAATTTATCTCACTGAGGGCCTTCCTTTTTCTCACTTGGCCTCTGCTTTACTGAGCATGATGTCCTTCAGAGACTGGTCCCTCCTGATAACCTATCCAAACTATACAAAACATGCCATCCTTCATTCTAAGGAGTATTCTGTCTTGGACAAAGTACAAGATTGTTGTTGTTGTTATGTGCCGTCGAGTTGTTTGCGACTCATAGCGACCCTATGCACAACAGCCCTAAACCCTGCTCTATCCTGCGCCAACCGTACTGCCTCTGACACACCCATCCCGATTACCCCAGTCACCGAATCAATCCATCTCATAGAGGGTCTTCCCCTCCTGCGCCATCCCTCCACCCTCCCAAGCATGATGTCCCTCTCCAAGGACCCGTCCCTCCTGGCAACATGTCCAAAGTATGTCAGATGAAGCCCCAGAATCCTTGCCTCCAAGGAGTCGCTTGGCTTAATCCTCTCCAAGATGAATCTGTTTGTTTTCCTGGCAGTCCATGGTATTCTCAATACTCTTCTCCAGCACCACGGCTCAAAGGCATCAACTCTCCTTCTGTCATCCCTAGTCATTGTCCAACTCTCTGATGCATAACAAGCGATTGCAAAGACCATGGCCTGTATCAGGCGCACCTTAGTCTCCAAAGAGACACCGTTGCTCATGAGTACTTTAGAGAGGTCTCTAACAGCAGACTTTCCCATCGCGATACGCTTTTTGATTTCCTGACTGCTGGTGCCAGGAATGTTGACTGTGGAGCCGAGTAAACTGAAGCTGTGAACAATCTCAATCTCTTCGCCATCCATCCTGACACTGCCAATTGGTCCGGTGGTGAGAATCTTTGTCTTCTTGACATTGAGCCTCAGTCCATACTGAAGGCTGCAGTCCTTGACCCTCTGCAGCAAGTACATGAGATCCTCCTCAGTTTCAGCAAGCAGGGTTGTGTCATCTGCATAACACAGATTGTTAATAGATCTTCCACCAATCCTGATGCCACAATTCTCCTCATAGAGCCCAGCCTCTCGGATAATCTGCTCTGCATACATGTTGAAAAGGTATGGAGACAGGATGCATCCCTGGTGTACACCCTTCCCAATTTTGAACCATGCAGTGTTACCCTGCTCTGTTCTGACTACTGCCTCTTGGTCCAAGTATAGGTTTCGCATTAGCACAATTAAATGTTCTGGGATTCCCATTCTTCTCAGAGTCAGCCACAGTTTGTTATGATCCACACAGTCAAATGCCTTTGCATAATCAATGAAACACAGATAGACACCCATTATATGAATACTCATCTGTATTTGCTGCTTACTGAATACTCTATGAATGTGATTTTTTGTTTTCTACTGAAGAGCTATTCAAATTATAGAAATGTTTCCTAAAATGGGAATTGTTATGATTGAAAGTAGGTGCTTAAGTGATTGAAGGGAAGAGGTAGGAGTGAATCAGTGTGACATAGGTTTCTGAATACAAAATTAATTTTTAGTTAATTAATTAAAAGATTTGAATCATTTTCTTGATAAGGAAAGGAAGAGCATGGAGGAAGACAGATTATATCCATACTGATAAGAAATAGTGAAGAGTTCTCAGTTGAGTCACTGTTTCTAAAGATGACTTAGAGTTTAGATCCTAAAGACTTAGTTGATTTTGGAGATTCTTGATAACAGTCTAGTTTAAAAGGAAAGAAAGTTGCAGCTATCTTGCCATTTTAAATTTTTTTGTATGTCTGTTATTTATTGCTTTGGTAAGTGTGTTTATATTCATTATTAGAGATAATTACTTGGGAATGATTAATAAATTCCTGGCAGCTAAAATGGCATTTGTTACACACAAGATTTCATTACAGAAATGAGACCAAACTGGGGGGGAACCCCAAAACAGCTGCCTAATTTCAGATAAAAATTGTGGCCTTAATTTGATGTTTGTGTTTTTCTCACACATAAGCCTTAACATATGTTTGTGTTTTTCCCCCCATAGATACACACATAAACCACAATGGAAACCCTGGTACTTCAAATCAAATACCTTCCAATTCTCATCAGCATTTAAATCCAGGCCCAAACATGGAGGATGAACCCAGAATTCAAACAAATATACTAAAGCAGGGTACCAAGGATAGAGTTGGTGATTTCCATAAATTGAAGCAAAGTAAGAATCTATTGATAAATGTGTGAAAGATTTACTTAAGTATGTTTGTAAATTTGAATTAAAGACTTTATTATCATTATTCTCTTTACTGAATGTGTAGTAAAGTTATGTGCATTTAAAGAGAAAGTATTCCAATAATAACTATAAGTAATGGTACTATTTAAAAGAAAGATAATTTATAAAGACAAGTGAGTAGAAACTGTTTCAAAGACCAAAGTGTCATATAATAAATTTCAGGTGAGTTGACTTTAAAAATGCTGTTAGTTCTTATGACTATAAATTTCTTTAAAGAAGAAAAGTGATTGAAGATATATTGTTCTAGACCAAAGAATGAAAACCCTGATTGGGAAGATGGAATTTGAGAAAATGAACCATTCTGGAAGAAGTATAGATCTGGGGAGACTGCCTAGTGAAAGGCTCAATCCTGCTTCTCTCTGTTCCTCCCTTTCATTTCTGTGTTATGAGAAAAGCAAATAGAATAAATTTATTTGCTGACTAACTGCTTCAGAGGTACTAATTTAGATAAAGAGATGATGCATGTTAACTTATATAACCCTCTAATTGGTAGACTGTGAGGAACTGTGAGAAAAATCCTGGTAGTAGAAAATAATTTGGACACAAGAGTTCCCTAAACTCAGTTCCCTTAAAACTGTTTCTCATTCATTGCCTCTCCTTTTCACAGCTTTTTTCCTTCTTCAGCTTCCAAACAGAATTTCTAATATCTTCTGTTTCTTTTATTTTGTTTTTATGATGGCTTTTATGGGGGCCCCTATTTACAACAATGTTTAGTTATTTGAACACAGGTTGTTTATAAGGTGAGCACTGTATAATGCTCACATTTGTGGGGTGTTTATTCAGGATATTTTTGCTGGCTTATAACAGTCATATAATTGCAAATATATTATTATGTAGTCAATGATTAGTTATTTAGTTTCTTTTCCTTCCCTGATATTTTGAAGAAATAGTTTATCTTCCAGAAGATTTTATTTTTACTATAGTTTGTCTTTCTTCTTTTTTTTTTCTCCTTAAAAAAACAATCTTTAGGGAAAGAATGTGATAGACAAAGAATTGTTGCGACATTACTAATCTCTACAAATTATTTTGAAAAGATCCCATTGAGTTTTAAACTTTCATTCTTTTACATTTATCATTAATGTGTATAGTGTATAAGTGAAACAATGTATGTACTATTTTGTGGTTTACTTTTTAAATTGACTTTTTTCCTAAATACATTTTTCTCTATTATCAGGTAGTTACCTACTTGTCATTTAACTATAGATGCATAAATGCACATACATGTATACATACACCCACAATTTGATTAAGGTACTAACAATAGTTCACTTAGCTGTTCTCTTATTACTATTTAGATTATTACCTAGGGTTTGGTGTGGTGTTTTTTTTTCCTTTTTTTCATTTTTCTTGTCTTGACTAGAAATTTTTTCCTCAGTTTGTTTCCTGCTTCTCCTACTTTGGGTGTTCCTTTAAAAGTATAGTTCCTAAATTGAAAGTACAAGGTGAAAGCATTTGACTAGCTTTAGAGCTTGTGTTTCATATATCAGATTGTTTTCTGGAACAATTTTGTATAGTTTTCCTGAAGATGGTTAAATATGACAATTTCCCTATGTCCTAACCATAATGAATTTTATCCTTTTCGTAATATATTTAGAATGTAATGATTCCTTAAAGATATTTTCATAAACATTTATTTTCTGGTGGCCTGGTCATTTTTGTGAGGTATTTTACTGCAGTTATTTCTAGGTTTATAATCTGTATATTAGTTTTGACTGTTTAGTCTGAGACTCTGGAGGTTGTTTAATATCTTTATATAATTCATATAGTAACTATATAAGTTCCTTATTGCAGTTTTTCTCTTCTGCCACCTTTTCTGGCATAAAACTTTGTTGAGTTTTATTTTACAAGTTATTTTAAATTAGCAAATTTAAAATAATTTTTGTTTTCATACACATGACAAATGTACCATATACAACTCAGTGGCATCTAGTACACGTATGGTGCCAAATAATCATTATCACTATCAAGTTCAAGGACATTTTCATCATCCCAAAAGGAAACACCCTAACTACTTATTTTTTTTTCTCCTCCCAAACTGTGTGTGTGCGCACGCACATTTACCATCAAATCATATCTAACTGGTACAGGAGGAGATTGTCCCTCCTTGTCCAGCAGAACATCTTGTGGATTCGAACCATCCCCCTCAATCTTTAAGCACTTACTTCCCATTCCTCCCTTCCCACAATGGCCAGTAATCAAAGATCTGTGTTCTGACTCTTTTTTCTCCATAAAGTATATATTTACCTATTCTGTATAAAGCATATAAATTGAATGATAAATTTTGTGGCCTTTATGTCCAATATTTTCTACTTAGCATAATGTTTTCAAGATTCATCCATGTTGTAGTGGATATGGGTACTTTATTATTTTTTACGAAAGGGTTTTGTTCTATTGTACATAGGGTCACTATGACTTGCAGCCAAATTGACAGCACTAATTACAAAAATAACAAAACCTTGTGTATGCATGATGTCCTGTTACATATATGAAGTATCATATACTAAAAGCATTGGCAAAACAACAAGGCCCCAGGAATTGATGGATTACCAATTGATGGATTACACAGCCCTGGATGTACTCACTAATCTATGCGAACAAATTTGGAAGGCAACTACCTGACACACTGACTGGAAGAGATCTGTATTTATATCACATGCAAGTAAAATCTTGTTGAATATTACTCAAAAAAAGCTGGAATAGTATATTGACAAAGGACTTCTAGAAATCCAAGTTAGATTTAAATAGGCTGTGGAATGAGGACTATCATTGCTGATGTCATGCGGTTCTTGACTGGAAGCAGAGAATACTAAAAAGATACTTGTGTTTTTTGACTATGCAGAGGCATCTGATTCTGTGGATCTTACAAAGTATGGAGAGCATTGAGAAAAATGGGAATCCCAGAACACTTAAGTATGCTCATGTGAAACCTACACATAGACCATGAAGAAGTTGTCCAAACAGAACAAGGAAACACTGCCAAGTATAAAATTAGAAAAGGTGTCCATTCGGGTTGTATCTTCTCGCTGTATATATTCAATGTGTATGCTGGGCAGATAATTGAGCAGCTGAACTATATGAGGAAGAATGTAGCATCAGGATTGGAGGAAGCCTCATCACCAATCTGCATGACACAACCTTGTTTGTAGAAGATGGAAAGACTTGCACTTTTGCAGAAGATCTAAGACTATAGCTTTCAATAGGGATTATACATCAACAAAAATCCTTACCACTGGACCAATAGGCAGCATCATGATAGAAGGAGGAAACAGCTGAAGTTGTCATGGGAATTCACAATCAGCTTCCACAGTAGCAGCAATCAAGTAATCAAAAGATGTGTTACTTTGGGGAAATCTGCTGTCAGAGACCGCTTTAAAATGCTAAAGAGCAAGGATGTCAGTTTAAAAACTATGGAAAACCTGATCTAAGCTCTGATCTTTTCAGTTGCTCTGTATGCACTGAGAGTAAGGATAACAGAAGAAGAATTGAAGTCATTGAATTTTGGTGTTAGTGAAGAGTGATGATTATTTCATGGACTGTGAAAAGAAGAAATAAATCTGTCTTAGAGGAGGTGTAATCATAGTATTACTTAGAGGCAAGAATGGTGAAATTACATCTCGTATACTTTGGACATGTTATCTAAAGGAACCTGCGTTGGGGAAAAGACATCATTCTAGGAAAGGTAGACAGTTGGTGAAATAGAAAAAGACTTCCAGCAAGACAAATAGACACAGTAATTGTAACAATGGTCTTCAGTGTGACAGGTTATAAAGGTGGTGGATCTGTTGTTCATAGGGTCACTACAAGTTGTTGTGGCCTGACGACCCTAACTGCAACCACAAAATCATGTTTGGATGATATACTATCACAGTTATGTAAGTAATAATTTTTATTCTTTCTCTTCTTAAAGGTAAACTACCTGGTATATATGATATACTATCATGTACCGATGATATGTTAGTATATATACTATTACTTTCTATATGGTAATATTTTGAAGTGACACTGAATATTGTGCCACAAGATTGTGTAGGATTTCATTCTATTGTACATAGATTTGCTATGATAGGAGCCAACTCATGAGCACCTAACAACATCATGGAAATTATAAGAGTGATTTTTCTTATTTATTTTTAAATATTTGGGAGGATTCCACCTAGTAACAGAGTAAAGACCTGCAGTGTTCTGGATCAAGGGCTTCATGCTGAAGCTAGACCTGGAGGAAATGAAACAGAAGATGCATGAAGATAATAGCTCTTCCATACACAACTTTTTCATCTGTGTGGCTCTACTGCAAGTCACTCCCTTTATCTTAAAGAAAGTGGATGGCATATAGACTTGACGTAACATCTGAAGGCATGTTATGAAGACTTGGTTAGAGTTTTCACTCATTTGCAAATTAATAGACTCAGAAAGACCTAAGAAACTCTCAGATTGAATGGCCCTAAAAATTCTACTTGTTAATAACAATTTGCTTTGGACTTTCGTAGCTAAAATGTAAAACTGGGAGCCCCTCCACCAAACCCAGTCCCTATCCAGACCAACCTCTTAGGCTTGGCCTAAGATTGAAGATGCCCAGGTTCAACAACCCCCATCACCATTGCAGAGGCCAGAGTAACTCTTCATGTAGCAGACAATTACTCCAGGAACATGCAGACCACTGCATACCCAGACCCTCACCTGAAAGTCTAGATAAGACATCTAGAGTGGCCCCAGGAGATGCCATTCTCATCAATGCCATCATTATTAAATGGCGTGCAGCCAAACCTCTTCAACAATGCTAAGACAGACTTTACACAGTCATCTTAACTACCCCCAGAGTGGTTAAGGATAAAAGAAATGACCAGCTTGAACCAGCTGCCATGACATCCATATTCTCCCCTGGCTACTGGTACAGGGTCATCCCACTCTAGCCTCTCAGCCCCCAG